TAGATGGATGGAGAAAAAAACAGAGACAGGTAGATTAATAGTTGGACAGACAAACAGTTAAACGTATTGACAGATAATGAATCATGCAGAGCAGGCGGACCATGAGTTAGTCGGACAGTGAGCGTGACAGAGACAAACACATAGCTGGAGAGAGAGCAGGAATTTAAGCACATGGCAGAAAGATAGGTGATAGGCGAATGCCTGGTCAAAGTAAGTAAATGACATGCTTTCACAAGTTTACTACATAGGCAGAATAACAGACAGATGGAGATACTGAAGAGCTAAGAATGAGGCAGCTGTTTTGTAGGAGCATTAACTATGGATAAGGTTACAAAGAGATTATTAGTAGATTATCGATGGCTGGAGAGTTGGGAAATGTAAGTATGAAATTAGTTAATATATGTCGAAATGGTAACGGAAAGGAGTAGATGATAAGTAAACAGTTATGACCATTTACTGGATTGCTGGGTAGACACGCAGGCAGGGATATGAACTGGCTGATGTACCGGCTCGCGTGTATGAGTAGGTAGTTTGTGACTCATTTCAACACGCTTGTTAAAGAAAATGACGATAAAAGGACAGCTACACAGACAGACTGATAGCAAGTGACAAAAGATGAAGGATAGACGGCAGGCTAGATGACATATCAGTAAGTAAGCATTGTTCTACCGTGTTGCTAGACAGATAGGCGGAGAACTAATTACATAACATGACCGAGAAAAAGAGTGACGAACGAGTCAGCGAATTATAAAAAAAGTTGATGGTTAAGTAGAGGGCAAAAGTATAGATGATGCGGACAAAACAAAATTCAGACAATACAGACAGACACGTAAATCAGTGAATGAACTGAAAGAGGTGGTTTGATATACAGACAGAAATACATAGGTAGATAGAGATGTATGAAAACAGAACAACAATAGGACAAACAGATATACGATATAAAAGTATATTTTTGGATGTTTGGATACGAGAGAATAGGTAACACCGACAGAACGGTAGTAAGACGATCAAGCAGACTGAAAAATCGATTACCGGCTGATGCCTAATAGAAAACAGATAATCATCTGGTGGACTGGCAAAATAAAGAATTCAGGACGTAATCATCCGTGTTGCTTCTGCCAGAAATTTTCATGACCCATAGCACGTAATTTATATTTTGTTCGTATTATCGTATTCGTTTAGTTTTGAGCTGCCATAGCATATCTGTTATCGTTTTTGCTCTTATCGCTATGAGGGAGCGAAATAATCGAGTACGCATTTTTAGCACGGTGGGGAATTGTGGCATAGCATAAAGAGGTCGGCTTCGAACTTTTGAGATGCCGGGTTTGAGTCTGGAGAAGGGCCAACTTTTGTCTTAATGGTCATTTTTTCTTTAGCAAGGAATTTATCCCGCTTTAATGCGATGCAGCCAGCCGTGAAACGCCTAACAATCCTGTGTCATAGAATAGTTTGGACAGCATAGTGTTCTGCTGTGGTCATACCAGAATGGTCAAGTGGTGTCTGATACGAGGGCCTCTCGTGTCTGAACTTAACAGCCACCTCGCATACTGTTTAATGTGATAATCGGCAGAAGGTATAATGTAAAATGAGATATGTGAATAAATAATTTGATAAAACCAGTTAACAGACGGATTCTGCTCACTTCGTAATAGACTCAAAGTCGTTGTTGTAATGACATAACCGGGTTACAACAGTCACTACTACCCTGTCAAGACAGGGGGAGCATCTTCTATGAAATTTTCACCAAGCCGCTCAGCTTTTCAGGCTGTCATTATTATTGACGAAGTTTGGGTAGCGCACGTGTTTTCTACAAGAGGTTTTCCTTTCGTCTACAAATTAAACAGCTACTTCGATGGCTTGTGAATGTTGGCTGATTTTCTTCGTGTTTTTCAGATCTGAACATCAGTCTGATGCATTCGATCGTGAAGCCCCGACTCGTCAGAGTATGTCCGAGAAACGTCGAACAGCCATTCGTAGTGCTGATGTTAGCGACATCCAACTTTACCAGAAAATCAGGCACACGAGACAGTATAGCGGTAAAGTTCAGTCTTTTCTAATTATTACTGATTTGGGAAAACAGATTTTTTTATAAAAGGTACTTTGTTCATAGTTTGTTAATCGAATCGTTCTCCACTTTCCGACTTATTTTCGAGTTGAAAAATGGCCTCTGCGTGCACGACAGATTACATCGCACAGCAGAGATGATCGATGAGGTTCAGAAGGGGTGAATTTGTGCCCAAGAGGCTATAATCGCTCAATTCAAAGAGTGTTTCGGATGGGACGATGGCCTACTGAAGAGATATGGAGGCTTGTGGCGACAAACCACACGAGACAGAAGAAAGTGTGCTTTGAGACTAGGCAATAAAGATCATCGTTAATTGCAACGAAAAATCAGTCAGTTATTTTTGTTGTTATTAATTATATACCTTAATAATCAGTTAAAGTGATGGTGTATATTCCTTGCCAGCGGTGGCAGTCGTCCCTGGTCATTTTGTTTGAAGTACGATGCATTCAGCGTTCTTCACAGTTTCATTAGTAGGACAGTGATTTCAGTTGCTATGCTTTATTTATTTTATTACCAATCTGTTTTTATATAAGCTACAGTTCTTAAAAATCTTTTTATTGATGAATTTTGTTGTTTTCTTTAAAACTGATTATTGTAATGTGTAAACTCCATTATTTTTAGCACCTCCGGCGGCGAACAAGAACGCGACTGTGTCATCAATAGCTGGTGGCGACGGTGAGGCATCAAGGAACCCACCAGCAGCCGCCATGATGTCCAGGGGTTCGGGCCTCAGTCGTCGTCTGTCGATTTCTTTGGAGAGCTTTGTGGACACGATAGGCCCTGCTTCTGCCGGGGGCAGCGACGCTGTGCTCATCCACGAGCAGGTGGCGCACAACTTGAAGAAACCGGCAAAGAATTCCGCGTTGTTGAAGTCTCCGGTATGGTGTCGTGCGAAAATGCGACGCGCCACGTTCGTGCAGGGCTCATCGAAGAGTACCGACTTGGGTATAGCAGCGATGGCTGTTTCTCCGATGGATGAATTCGCAAAGCACGGTAGCTTTGTTTTTTTGTTCTCGTAATTAAGGGCTTCGATATTTTGATATGCAGGCGAAACACGAGGTGATATTTACGTTGGTTCGTCAGCATCGACGTCTGACCAACTTTGCGACCTGCCGGCTAACAGCATCATCGGCGAACAGCGTAATAAGGGTCGGCGAAAGTCGTCCAGCAGTAGTCTTGCATCTTTGAAAAATCTGTTGCGTTTCGGCAGCGGTGGCAAGGCCAATAAACCTGTCAAATTTGCGGTCAGCACTCAGAAGTACACCGAACACCCCTTCGAGAACTTTACATCCTTCGTGCGGCCGGATCTAGCTAATAACGCGAACGGTTTGGATTCGGGGTACGTTTTGATTTTTCTGGTTATAGATGTGTTAGAGACCGAGTGACGTTGGACGTGCTGCATCAGACACTGGGCATACAACGTCCATCAGTCTTTTTTGCGGTGCATGACTGAAATGGATTGCCTTTATGTAGTACTTCGTTCCTTCTGTTTTTCAAAAGTTTTTATAGTTGACTGACCTCCGTTTCAAACTGTTTATTTTTTATGAGACATACTTTTCCGGCGAGACTGGTGCACTTATAATGTTAAATATTTTTCATATATTTTCATAAACTGATATTTAGTAACCTTGTTATTTTTAGTTGCGTTTTGCCTAATTCTTTGAACGCGATAATGATCGGTTATGGAGACAGGGGTACGTGCACCTTGCTTTCGATATCTTTATCCGAGTCTGTTTGTGCTTGTAGACAGAACCCGTGGAAAGGAGTTTCATTCACCGATTTTGCATGGCGCACACTTCGACCAGTGCTATCGACCAGTATGGAACAGATTTATGAACGGTGGCACTGACGTCGTCTCTGACTCTGTATGTGTTGAGTTTATTCGAGTATTGTGATGAGAAGTTAACTTTAAATAATTGAATTTGGATGTCAGTTTCGTTAAATGCGCAAGAAGTGGTTGTGGTATTTTGTTTCTGCGTTGTTTAATCATACTGAAAACGAGCACACCGGAGGTTTAATTGACTCAGCGCAATGCAGAACATATTGCTGATCATCGCCACTGTCGGCTCTTCGAACCATCTGTCATGCGCCTTCTACCAGCATAGGTAGATGGTAGTTTTCTGTTTCTATGGGAGTGGTCTTCAGTGGCTGAATCGTATTATGCCAGAGCAGGTCTGAGGCGACCTCTGCACCGATGTTATATATATATGCCAAGGGCCGTTATATTTATGGCATTTTCGTGGGCTTGGATCATTAATGCCTGTTTCAACCAATTTTTGTTGCTGACAAGGCCGGTTCACTTTTATTATCATTTCTGAGAGGGAACGTCTTTTTGTGTTATCTGTTGCTCGACGCTTGAACGCTTTCAACATTCGATTTTGACCTGATGGTATTAGGCCTTGCTTTCTTGTGGCATACTTCGTTTGCACAAGTGGCTCACGATCGTCCGCCATTATCCATCTTCTTCAACAACTGGATCTTTATTCATTGAGTGGCGGGGCTCCCTCTTTCACGTAGGTAGCATTCCGCAGTTAAGTCCTAAATTTTAAAACCAACCTAAAGAATTATTATTCCAATATGTACTTAATTAAACATTAAGTTTATAACATTTCTGCATAAGATTGTTACTTTTAGTATTTAATAACTTTTGTATAATTTTACTTAAACTTTCTTTATAAGATAGAATTAAGTGTCGTTGCAGCTTCATTTGTAGTTCATTTTCTATGATTTATGACGTTTCGAACTTCGCAGAGTAGTTGTTATTGTTATATGAAATTAATTTAGTGTTTTGTTTTACTGGCAGATTCATTACAATTTAAAAACTGTTTATGCAGCAACTGTCTGTTATTTATTCATATGATTGTTTTAAAAAAAAACTTGATATTGTAAATTTACGAGTTATTTTAGTTTTATAGCGATTAATTTTCAAGGCATCAACAAAGAGATAAATGGAACTATTTTCATTTTGACTAGCCAACTAATATTACTAACTATCTTACATACTAAGGCCATCGGGAAGATTGACGACTTGTGTTTTATTTTCTTTTGGGTCAAGAGGAAAACTGGCTCGCGAATGTCTTGAAGGAAGTTCTAAACAGGCCAGACTTCGTGTACAGGGCCAAACTTTAAGAATGTCGTAGTGGCATCGTGGCTAAGGTTCTGAGTTCGGTTCCCGCTGCCTAAAATCTTAGTTTTTATCACGAATTTTCCTAAGCAAGGAATTTAGCAAAGAAGGCTTCAGACTGGTGTTGATCAGTCGGTAGAGCGTCAGACTTGGAACCGAAAATTCCTGAGTTCGAGCCCCTGTCGGGGTCAGTCGTCTTTCCAAGGTAGATAAATGAGTATCATTCTGTTGTTAGGAAATTGGAGATTACAGGCTATGC